CCGCCCCGAACCTCGGCTTGTACGTGTACACGGGAAGGGTGTCATCAAACCCTTCCACACATTCTTCGAGCTGTGGAAGCTCAAAGGGCCCAGAGGTAAAACCACTAGCGTTTTAATAAATGTAAAATTCCTGTGTGTTTGGGTGTCTGAGACACAGGGCTGGCAAGGGGGCTTACCACATCCATGACAAAATCCTGCACTTTCAGAACATCAACACCTTTTAATATCACCCAGCTGCACACATGTGTAGCCTTGGCTGCAAATGCTAGGTAGGAGAAGCTTTACATTGTATTACAACATCATATTAAACAAACAAAAGCATGCATGTTGCCAGCTGCCTCCTCTCTTGCCTGCAGACGACGTCCCAGGGACCTTTTCAGCCTACGTTGCTGTGCCAGTTATTAACAGTGAGGACTAAGCTGTTTCCAAATCTGAGATAAATGGCAGAAGTGAACAGATGGGTCTCAGAGGAACCGTACCTACTTGTGCTGGAGATAGATGTGACCCTGGTTTGCTGATTTGCGTTTTGTTTCACACCCTGTAACAGCGTGTGTAGTGTTTCTGAACTCTCAGGGTTTAAAAAGCACCCTGACATCAAAGGGAGCCCACGCATTCATTTCAGCTATTTTTGACTGAGGACTTCTGCACAACATGAAACAAAAGTTGTCTTGGATAAATGGAAGTGAAAGAGGGCAGGAAGATTTCTCCATTTACTGGCCATTTAAGTGAAGACTGATTAAAGTCTTATTAAGTGGTATCCTCCAAGGCTGTCCATTTTAAATTCAGACATGAAATACTTACTGTCGCTTCAGTTGACTTGGGCTTTTTAGCTTACATTCGCTTCAAACAGACTTCTGTTCTGATACACACTCAGGTAAAACTTGTCCTCATCCTCAGCTAAGAAGGCTCAGACTCTCTCTTATTTTTCATTAATGGCTAATTCTGTGCTGACCTCCATGGCAATTTTGCCACATGGGAACTACGGACAGCAGACTTCATTCAAAGCCAAGTCCTGAAGTGCAGAGCCAAAGTCAGAACTGATTCCCAATTTACTGCTCAGCTAAGGAGTAACCTCGATGTCAATGGCGCTGCAGCGTTATGAACACCAGAGTCACCTTTCTGGTTATTACTTGGACAACATCTGCTCAGGCTGGTGACAACTTTTAGTGAGTAAGAACAACGGAAAGACCTCAAGACTTAGCCCTTCAGGCCCTTCCCCATACTCATTACGTGAGTCAGACCATCACCGAGTTCTACAGTGCAGTGAGACAAAGGAATAACAACATTTAAAAAAGAAATATCACTGCATCTTTTCTATTTGCAGATAGTAATAATTTCTAATTTTAGGCCTCTACTTGAGGTCCTCAAATTAGGAACTTAAATACATTATGAAGTTCCCAGAATTTGAATCAAAGAACCTACACAGAAACCTGCCTCCTCCACAAACCGCTGTTACTTCTGAAAAGACTTCTCACCTTGTTGGTAGCTAATCCATGACAACATTAAAATTAGTTTGACAAGAGTGAGGATTTCATTCGGTGGTTCTTTTTTCTTGGTGAAGCAAACAATTTTGTCAGTCCCATAGAAATTTTCCACTCCCCATGTTCCTGGCTTTTTGACTGAAAAACTCTGAACTCTTGCATTTTTAAACTATTCAAATAATAGAAGGTAAAACTGATATTTAACTTCCTCTTTATGCATCCAACTGAAATTTGAGAATTATATTTTCTTGGAAGACATGGAGTTGTATATGAGCCCAACCCCACCCTTTCTTACATCAGTGGCAGTTTACAGTGCAAACAAAAGGCAAGGTTGCACTTCATGGAGAAAGATTCTGTTCCTACTGAAGCAAAACCTCCCCAAAACTCCACTGACTGGTCAGCAAGATCAGTTCGTTGCTCTTCTCTGACCTGTGCAGGTGTATTAGGTGAGGATGGGCAATATGTTTTAAAAATTGACATACTCTTGCTTTGGCATGGCTCTCTATTTCATCCACAGTAGATGAATGTTGGTTGCAAACTTTAATGTTGGTTTTTTCATGCATATTTTTCTCGTATGCTCGAACATCATCCATAGTCATATCTGTAAAAAGTCCAAAATTGTTGGCATTTTCCATTGATTCAATGCAAATTTTTTTTTTTTTTTTTTTTTTAAGGAGAAGGTTCTAGGAACACATAGTCTTTCAGCAGAAGCCAAAGAAGGATTTAAAAAAAGCATGGAGCAACTAGCTTTATGAAAATTGACTCATAAAGGTAGTTATATCAGCCAAGGAAGGTGTAAGAAGGTAAAGTCAAAGGGAGTCAGAGAACAGGAAGGAGTGGAAATTGTTTAGGAGTATCCGTGTAACATAAGGTAGGCAGGAAGTATTGAAGTGCAGGCCTTGGCAAAGGCCAAGATCTTCTAAAAAGATTTTAGAAGATCCCTTGGAATAAAGGATAGGTACAGAAATATTAGAAATATTTACTTACCTTTCCAGGAACTTTCAAAAAGATTTTATGTTATCTTTGCATAGTACTACATCTCATAACCAGAAAACATTCTTACTGTTAGACCACGCATCAGCTTAGATTCCAGAAACTAACACTTAATTATACTGGTAAGTGAATTAATAGCGAATACGTTAATGATTTTGTAGCCTCAAGCTATTCAATGAATTGTAAGAATTAGAAATACTCTACAGATCAGGCTGATTCTACTGGTAGGATCATTTATCGTTGTCTGGGCATGCCTGATGTTGTCAAACTAGTGCATGACCTGTGAGGTGCTGCGTGCTATGTAACTCAAAGCAATTATTACAGATTTTATAAAGATTTGTCATAAACCACACTTCCAGTAAAAAACATAAAGAATCCAATTAATTGACTTGTGATCTTACTCTCCTGAGTAATCCCAGGCTTTCAGTAAATCTACTTGAGAGTAAGGTGTAAGTGAACACCAAGGCTTTCAGAATTTGGTCTGTTCTTTACAACAGTTTGGTAACTTCAGAGCTTCATGAAAACAGCTACCAGCTTTTACTCACAAAACTTAAACAGCATTTTATTCACACAGCATACTTGGAAATGTGTACCACTTTTGGTAACATACACCATTTTTATTCTGGAGGCTATCATTTTTCTTGGGTTTACTATGTGCCACTTGGATTTGCAAATTCTTATATCACACTGCTCCTTGTTATGCAAAATGAGGCTCTTGCTGCGTTTTACGAGACAGCTTTTAAGGAAAGATACAACTTCAGTGTTACATCAGTAGCACAATGTAATACTTCATCAATGAAAATGAAATGCAGTCTAAAATTTTGATCAAAAGGAAACACTGAATACCACTAACTCCTAATCTTTCAGTCTTTCTTTTACTGTTATCTGGAATGAGAAACAAGCTCAAGCCATGTCAGTAACATGCTAGGGATGCATTTTGCCAAGCAGAGAACATGCTCTTTATTAGTAAACAACACTGTGCAAATAGATTTTCTTAATAATAAAGCTAAATAGAGTTTAGCAAATTTAATGACAAGACACATTCATACTTACAGTAACAGTAACCAGTCAGTAATATCCGTAACATAACATGTTGTTTAATAATTTATTACACTGATTATTTGATTCAGTTCAGCTGACTTACATAATCTCCAAGTCTTTCTCAAACTTTTATTGTAAAAGATGGTAAGAGACACCCTGAAGGCACACAGACGCTTTAAAAATTCTGTCTCTGAAAAACTCTCCCTACACACATAAACATGTCACGAGCAGTCCCACAACAGCTTTACAGATCGTACGTATTAAATTGAAGGGGATGTGTACAAACTGGATCTCACTCATTTTTGGGTAACGAAAGACTCGATTTCTAGTCAGTAAGTCTTAGCAGCTGTTCTACTCCAGAACAACGCAGCGGTGGAAGGGCTGCAACAGCACCGAGTTACCTACACTAACTTCTTGCACTTTCTTTTCTTTTTAATACATCTTGCTATATACTTAGCCTTTAATCCTGTCTATTTCAGTAAGCCCAGATTCTTCAGGTTTTGTACTTAGCCTGACAATTAAGTTCTAGAAGTACACTATATTATTTAGTAAAAAGACTCACTTTGACAGTAAAAATCCACAAGATAATTGTGTATCACACTATTTCATTTGTGGGAAGAGTATTTTTGACAAAGCGCGTTGAGAGTTAAGATGGGAAAAAGTGCGGTTAAATGTTTTTGGGTTACACCTATTCCTCACATTTAACTTCATGATTACTCGCTTGTTAGCATTATCAATGACTCTGCCAAAGTGCAGCTGACTCTTAGCTTCCCACTAACATTTCTTTATGTCTCACTTTAATAGATATTTTGGGTAGATTTGGGGCAAACTTGTGGGCTCAATTTTTACATGAAGTCAGGCTTCTTTATTTAAAGTCATCAGTTTCCCTGCCTTCATGAAGGGAATATAACAGATAACTATATTTCAGTCACTATATTGTAAAATTTAAAAAAAAAATATTTCTAAGTATCTCCTCACCAGACACAAAGTTCTCTTGCTAGTTTATGGCTATCCCAATACAGAAGATATTTTTCGTAGATATCAGTATTTTTATGATCATTACAGCACCAGATTTTCATGCGCTATTAAATTTATAAGAACATTGTGATTTCAAAAGCAAATTTTTCTGTATTTTCAAAAAATCAGTGCAATGAGCTTGTTGTTAGATTCTAGTGTCAAATTCTGCAGGTTTATGAAGTCACTGGAGATGTCTGTGTTCGCACCAGCTGGGCTAACTGACTATTTTTAAGCAATGCAGAATGTTTCTGAGTTTTGATGAAAGACAGGTGTCATTCTTATCCATGAAATGCCTCCAACGGTGTTTCCTGAAGCTTAAGGAGGGTCTAAATAAACATTCTAAGTATGTTCCCAAATTCCTATTACATCTCACAGGAATGTCTTAGAAGCTGTTCTACAAGTGTGTGTGATTATGGATACTTCTTCCTGAAAGTACATGTAAAAAGCACAAACTCTGTGAGCTTCTTTTATAAAATATAATTGGCTGCTTTGATATTCAGGATTACTCTGCACTATTGGAAGTGCCCATTCCTACAGCTGATTCATGGATTCAGGACAGTTTTTGCACGCAGCTGCTGTTGAATCAGACCCAGTAGGTTTTACATTTATATAAATTTTTCAGAAAGGACATTAGAGCTCCACATTTTCTTTACTGCAATCCACAGGAACAGTTTAAAACTTTCCTAAAAAGCTGAAATTGTGTTGGATCAGAGGCTGTAGGAGTTTGCAGTATGGAAATGACTGCAAGTTACTGCAGTCTTTGTAAAGAGCTCTATTCAAACCTGCATGCAGCTCTCCATAGAGATGACTCTTGGCAGGGGCAGCTCCTATCTGCCTACAGTGCAGGGTGACGGGGCTGCTGCACATACTCTGAGATGTACGGGCTGTAGAGGCGTCCCTCCCTGCTGCCCACTGGCCGCTTGGTACAAAGAACCTGCTGTGAATGAGCTCCGTATGTTCCAGAGAAACCGAACATAGCTCCATCTCTTTCTCAAACAATTTATACTAGGACCTGACGGTCCATGGAAGCAAATGGAAATCTGTTGCTGGTTGTCAGAAGCTTTGCAGCAGCCCTTTTAAATGGGCTAAATTTGGAGAATACTTACCGTACCACTCATCAACCCAGGCAAAAGCCTGCCGGTGACCGATCAATAGTATATCTCTGACCACCTGCGAAAAAACCAAAGGAGGTTCAATACCTCTGCAGCAACAAAACATTTTACAAAAGTAACACTGCTGTCTTTCAACATGATTTAAAGTTAAAAATACTCTGGCAGTTTTGTCTCTAAAAAGACATGCCCTGGAGAGTGAGACACACTGGCTCTGACGGTCTTGTCGTCCAGCCTCTCGCCTGGAGTGGATCTATTGCCAACACTGGATGACGTTAGTGTGGCTTTGACTGGCATGGGAAGCCACCTGGGATGCGTACAGAATCCATTAATCTTTGGGCAATTTGACATTCTGGAACTCTCCTTTTTCCTTGTTAGTTTTCTAAACATGTGGAAGGTCAGTACTCTGAAAAATATTATAATTTGCCTGTTATGCTATTCATTAATTAATTTTTTAATAGACTGATGGGAAAACTTTCCCACCACCTGTTTGTAAGAAATTCTGCACATCATTGCTGCATGTACAGTTCTCATATATACTCACAAATACTTTAGTTTGCATATTTATCAGGGTATTGAAGATGTTACGGATAGTTTTTCTCAACCTTAAACCTGAGCAGCTCCAGGCTTTGTCAAGTTTATACCCAGAGATGAACTCCTTGGCTCTGCTCCAGATCTTTCAGAACTCGAGAGGTCTAAAAGCAGATCCATCGGAGCTCCCTAGCTGGTACAAAGCCATAGCTGCACTCCCGTGCAGGGTAATACTCAAGTTCTGCTTATGTGAAGGCTAAGAAACAGCTCCTGTTTCACTGACCTTGTGTACAAATTGCTCTACTCTGGTCTGAAGCCCCCAGACTTCAAATTTCACAGTCACCAGTTTGTAGGAACACATAATTGGCTGATGGGTCTCTCTCCAGCCTTCTTTTAATTGGCCTCTCCCAGTCTTCTGTGACTTGAAGTATTTTGGATCCTGCAAAGCAAAGAAAACATACTGAGAAATGCAGGAGAGGAAGTCCTGTTTGTCAGCTTGCTAAAGTCAATGTTTTGATAAGACACAAAATATGAAAACATACTAACAAACATTATGAAAAAGTAATACAAAATTGACTTAAATAAGCACTAGGATATACTGAAATCAAATCCTGTCTTTTGTCCGACAGCCAGCGAATCGATGGCAGCATATTCTTGGAGACGCTTTGACAATCATATCATCTGGGACATTTTCTGCTATAGCAAAATATGTTATTGCAAGTCATTACAATACAATGCACTCCAAGTGTTATTTATGGCCTTTGGGAAAAAAATGTTGCTTCTTCAGAGCTGCTGCCTCCGTGTGACTTACGAGTACTTTCTACCCACGCTTATCTTCCTGAAATCATGTCCAGTCTGAGCTTTGACACACCAACGCTGATGTGACCCTGACAATGGCATTTTCAATTTCAAGTGAACTTGTATATCCAGGTGGGCAGCTGAGTATGAAACTCCAATTTAGCCATCTCTGGTTACAACTAAGTTATGATATCTTTGGGCAAAATGCTGACAAATTTCAACTCTGTCTTTCTTTTACTAACTGGAAAATCAAATAAATTTGTGTCAAAACTACAATTAGACCAAAAAAACCAATAAGGACATTAGTTCATCTCCAAAGTTTACTTTTATCTGTACAGGATACAGTTTTATCTATCAAAGTGTTATTTTCCGTACTAGTATAATTCCATTTCACTTTATGTCCAATCCTACTAATTACATCTTGCAAACAGAAATAATTTACAGTAAGAGTTGATTTTCAAAACTTGAAAATAATGTAGTTTCAGTAAATTCATAGTGGAGCTTCTAAAATCTGTTTTCAAGCATAACTACCAGTGCTCAGCTGTGTTGCTTTCCCCAAAGCTGACGTCTGGGAAGATCTTTTAAATCCACCCTTTGTTATAAAAGCAGTTAAACATGTATTTAAGTATGTGCTTAAATTATGCGCTGAATGGAAGACAAGCAGGAGAAAAACTAACAGATTGGTAAGACTACTCTGATTTTAAATTTCTTTCATTCAGTGTGAGCTTATATATCATTCAGCGTTCCTGTTTCCTAATGTTTACAGCGATCTCCTCCCTTGGCTTCTGATTTTATCCATAAACTGAAGTTCTGTCATTAAAGCTTCTTTACAAAGCTCTAATGAGGTGACAGTCTTCCTTCTCTGTGAAAGTCATTGCTTTCATTGCTGACATATTATTTTCTCAATAGAAACTTTGAGCTTGCAGTATAATACGGTTTCAATGTTAAATCACCATAAAAAACAATTCAGCGTCATCATATACCAGAGCAACACACCACTGTATATCACAACCCAGTCACATGCTGTTGCCAATCTTCTCCCTCAATAAGGCTTGACCTCAGATTGATCTAGATATTTTCTGGTTGAAAGAGTTTTTTTATAACTGATTATTGCCTGAAGCAATCAATATTATAATACTAAAAAGAAAAAAAAGGGAAGAACTAAGACTTAATATTCAGAAGGGAAAAAAGGAAAATCAAAGGAAAATAGTTTAATGTGAGGAAGGGTCTGCTGTTTCTTGCATACACACATAGTGCCAGTGCGATGGAGTCATTGTCTTGATGAAGCATTTCAGAGACACACTTTAATAATACTGTTATGCAGAGATACTTTATATCCCTTCGGCAATAACCAGACCTATAATGGAATAACTTCAATGCAGTCCAAAGGGATTTAACGCAATGAATTTGAGTCACTATCAAGCATTCAGAATTTATTAATAAAAATTAAATAAAGGACAGCTACCCTGCAGGACTGCTCAGTCATAAAACTTGCATTTTGTTCCAACCGCAAGAACCTGTCTGGATGCTGGGAAAGCAGTGGTTTGGTTTGGTTTGGTTTGGTTTGGTTTGGTTTGGTTTGGTTTGGTGAAGTTAACCCAGCAGACAAGGAGATTCATAGTGGAAATTGTTCTTAAATTGGTGGCCCACAAATAATCCACCTACTGCAATGCAAGTCATCCATGACATCACTCCTATCTGCAAACTCCTTTAACAGCACCCAGAGATGGCACCTTTGCTTCCCTTAATCAGGCCCATTTTTCTTGAAGGACACGATGTTTAGTCACAAATTGGCTGGACAGTTTCAAGCAAAAAGCCAGGCAATGATGGACAGTTTGGGCAACTCACAGATAATAGCTTTTATGGAAATTCCTGCTTTTCTGCAAATGTTAACATATTGATACTATAAGGCTGCAGACTGATGAATGGAAGCCAGGAAACAGAACGAATTCAGAGGAATAGGCTTCCAGACCGCTGTATGAAAGATCAGGGTGTTAAAGATTTTACTGAGCGCTTGCTCAGGTGAGTTAAAACTCAAAGACTGTGCATAAGCTGAGTAGTGGGACGCAAGACACGCAGCAACAGTAAGCAAAGCAAACTGGAGAGTTTAACCTCCGGGCCATCCGTTGGAACGGAGCATGAGAGTTTTACCGAGGTGAGTGGTTATCATCAGCAGAGCTAACATCGCTGGGCTTTCCACCTGGATGCTAAAAAATCAGGTGCTTAAAGTCTTGGACTACTTTAGAAAGACACAAATTCTGGCTCAGCAGTTGCTTGTGCTCTGGTTCATGCGAGGAAGTATTTAGGGGAACAATCTCTGTATTTATTTCTATATTTTGCATATATTTACAGCTTTCCTAGTCCTCTGCTCTTGGCCACAGCCTCAGGGAGCACAGCACGCTGCAAGTATCTTTGGTGTGAGCAGGACTGGTAATCTTTTGCTCTTCAATGTCTGATCGAAAGCCTGCTGTAATCTACAAGAACTTTGCCATGAAAGCCACGAGCTAGAATGATTTTATGTGCCCAACTCTTGGCTTCAAATTGCCACATTAAGATTCACAGCCTAGAATCCTCCTGCAATTAGGCATATAAAGTCCTTCTAAAAAACCAGATGAAGCAGGGATGCTAATTTTCTATTAAATGCAAGTAGAAATAACATTGGTTCACAGCAGTGCTTCCCCTCCTGGCTTTCCTACTCTAGCTCACCGGTTAGGTTAGTCAGACAGAACAAGTCAGACTCCCGTGCCATGCTCGCATCTCTCCAGGACCTAGGAGGAAGCGCTGAGCACCTGCCTGTGCCAGCCCACGGCCGTTCTTTACTCCTCCTGTGAAAGGTACAGCGATTTGCAAAACATACACCAGAGGCAGCAGGCTAGAGTGGAGCAGCATACGCTGTAGGCAGGAAGTGTGGCACCTGTTTTTGAAACACTTTTGTCAGTGACTGGAAACTGAGCTAGCTGATCTTTGATCTGACTCCATTTTTACGTTATTATTTAGATCATTAATTTTGTGTGTGCCTTATTTTTGCTTTTAGCCACCCATGCCTTCCCTTCTAGCGAAGCCGTCGTCCAAAGAATACTGCATCTATTCACTGTTTTCCCCTTAATTTACCTACTGGCAAAACCCTCAATCTGTTTTAAATGTAATGGCATAGCTAAAATCTTTTTGTTTAAATAACCTTCTTGTCCTTTTATCAGACACAATTTATTAGGAAAGCCCATCTGGCAAATCCTTTTGCTACAGAGGAGCAAAACCTACTCTGTATTTGCAATACATTATTGCCAGGTGCAGAGTGATTTAAAAATAGCACTTCTGCTAACATAGCGGAAACATCATTACCCATGAGCTGGGCTTATTTGAGAATAAAATGTAAAATTACAATAAAATAAAATAAAAGCCACAGCGTGATGAATGTGCTTTCAAACATAGCACTCTCCCAGTGTTTCTTACTTAGGCCACGTCTGGTGGGTCCTGGCTCAACACACTTATTGTTGGAGATTCCATTATTTACCATTTAGCATTTATTTACTTAACCTCCCTCACGGACTGCAGACATCATGGGCATCAGCTGTGGAACTGTAACGCCCTTTCCAGGAGGCAAACACCAATGTGTTGACAATAGGGGACTGGGTTGTTGCAACGCCTTTTCGGATTTAATTCTGAAATGTTGTTTTTTACTAAAAGTTAAATAATGAAATACATTCACTGTTTACAGAAAACTTCCAAATCTGAATGGGCATGGTTCCCCTCAGCTCTGCCACGGTATCAGGCACAATTTGAAGATGCTGTACTATTCTGCAGCTGACAACACCTCCTCTGTCTGTATGCTGGAAGCCTGCATGGAATATCTTGTTAGCCTTGTCACTGATCTGCCTCGAAAATTACTTGCTGTTTGCATGGCCATTTTAGCATGGAAAAAGATCCACAAGCTGAACATGTTCTCCAGAGGTGAAAGTGCACTGTGCTGTGCCATGCATCCTATTCTCTTACTGGGTGTACTCACATCTCCCAGAAACAAAGATTCTTCCTTCCTTCCTTTTAATGCATGGATTCATTTTTTCTGTCTCTTATTGCTATATATTCCACCATGCTTTTGAAGTGCAGTCAGTTTTTTTTCCCCTTTAAGCTGAAGACCATTTTGTTTGATCTTGAATTTCAGAACCAACCCTTCATGGTTTTAACACATGTGATCTGGCATTTCACCATCAGCTGTGGTTGCTAGGTTTTGGATTTCAGTGTACATAGCTAGGGCTCTGGAAAGATTTGTTGATGTAAAGATACTACTACAGAGACTTACGTCGAGCCATTTTTTAAAGACTTTTTTTTTTCTCTTTTTGAATTTCCATTAAAAGTATTTTCTGGAAAAGCCAACAAAATACTTCAGAACTGAAAATACTGGGCCAGTTCCAAGGTGTTACAATATAATTCAGCCAGCCTTTGCTCACAACTGAAGTTAGTAAGGAAAAGCAAATTTTCATCTGATTTTGCTGTGCCCTCTACTGAACTACTGTCCCGACATGTTGCACAGATTCACTGTGGCGGCAGAGGCAGCTGTATTATTTCAACTACCATCATTTTCTGCTCTGTAATGTGACAGAAGTTTTGTTATTCTGAGAGCACCTGGACAGCAGTAAGCTGGACCTGCTACAGCGCAGCTGTGTTAAAGGTAAAAAAATTCAGCAATTGGAGAAGCACACTGCAGCAGCTGCATCAAATCTTCCTGTTTGGAGGTAACTTTAAAAGTTTATTCCATTTGTCCAACTCTCAACTGCTTTGTTATAAACAGGAAATGAAACACTGTTAATTTTGAGAACTCGAATATGGTGGCAAAGAACATTTTGCTCAGTAGCTGCCATCTACAGTAAATGTTTCATTTCAGCGAATGATTCACTGGAGGCCTTCACTCCAGCATAGCTCAGTTTTACTCTTTGCTATAATTCAGATAAATATATATGTCTATATGGGGAATACATGGTGGCTCCATGATGGCTGGTGATACATATTCATTGACGGTGAAGTCACAAGGAAATGACTTTACAAAATGTACAACTACTCTTACCTGTAGGCTTGTACATTCTTTATACAGAAATATAAAAGTCTGTATTCAATGTAATATATACGTTCAGATTTGGAAACATATGTGACTCCTTACAGAAAAACAGGCAAACCTGTTAGCTTGGATCTAGATTCAAGCTTTCTCAATTTGGCACCTCACATTTAAACATCTTTAAAGTTTAAGGCTTTTTAGGTGTATGCTTGTAAAAAAAGTTATATTTAAGATGTGGCAGCACTGGTAAGTACTCTGGTGGCTACTTCAATGCAGTCTGTGGATGGTCATTAAGTTAAAATCAAGTCATCTGCCTTGGGATACCAGAATTACTGCAGTTCGAACTGGTCTCTATGTGTGTGCTCGTAATAGCTAACAAAACTGTTTTCTGATTCACTGTTTACTTGGTGATTTAAGTGCTTTTCTGCACACACTGACGGATAAGCCCTCCATTCTTAAGGGAGTTCAAATCATTGGGATGATTCTGGTCAAGAGATCACTCAATACTACTGGCAGAGGTTCCTTTAAAGTGTTCCTCAGCAACACAACAACTCTCCTCAAGCCTCCAGCTATCTGTATTTTTTATTTTTCAATTTTAGTTAATATATAGGAGGAGAGAAAAAGCAGATATATACAAAGTTGAATTAAATAATTTTTCCTTCAACCGTTGTGACATTTTCATGGAACACTTCTCAGTGTTCTCATCAGCACAAGTCAAAACGAGCTATGCCATTCAAGTGGAATATTACACATATGAAGACGTTTTATACATTTTGTCTTTTTATGTGTGAATCACTGTTACGTAAGTTACAACTGAAGGAAGAATATAGATCTGTTTATAAGATTCATGTCAGGGCAACTGAAAAATAGTTTTTTAGCTCGTAGGTGCTAGGAAGCAGAGAACGGTCGCTTCATGTGTTTGTGCTGAGTCTGACGCTGTGGGACCCTCTGATACCTCCCGACCCTCCGGTGCTAACTGCAATATTATTGCCTCTGCTGATGGTGCCGGTGTAACACGTACACAGCTGTATCTTCTGTTTGCAGAAATGAGAAAAACAACACTGAAGCTGCCGTGGTTCGTTCTGTTACAATCAATGAGTTCTCTGATGCGCTAACTCAAAGAAAGGTCACAGCCAAACTGTCGAAAGGGGCCTTTCATACAGAGGACTCTGAAAAACTTCGGATATTGCACAAAACAGCTTATGAAGGATAACTGAACACTTTAAAGCTAAAAATAATAGAAATCACAAATACTAGCTTAATAGCAACTATGTAATTAGTGCTGTCTCATCATGTCAGACATCGCCGTCTACAAGCAGGCTCATAAGCGCTAACAAAGAGCAAGCAGTTCAAGTAGTGCATGAAAGGTTTAAATTATTTAAGCTACTTCTAATACACAGTAATACAGCTAAATAATGACATTTTGTGGTACAAACTGAAGTGTATTTTTAATTGAAGAGGGATGCACTTTCGTCAGGATATAAAAGACATTTAAAGCTCATTTCTAGCAGCTGCTAAGCATGCTGACCCTGATACAGAACTTGCTTAATTTTAAGCACGTGAAAGATCCATTGAAATGACGAGATTACTGCCATGCCTGAAGTTAAAACCATTCTCATTGGTCCTTCTGGATCGGAGTCAGAACACTTATCCTGTGGGATCTAATTCTTAAAACCTGAGGATTGTACTTCACTTTTAATCTTTAAACTTAGTATCAATCCAGATTAAATGATCTAAAAGCAGCCAAACTGTTTTTATTAGTGTAACTAAATGCCTTTCAAAAGCTTACAGTAAATGGTTCTTAGTTGTCTCTGAAACTGTCATTTGGAAAACAGAGGCCATTTCTCATTTATATGGAGTTACTTTTTTATGCTGTTCTGATTGAAAACAGATGGAAATTACATTTACAAACATTAAAAGTCTTTTTAATGTTCCTAAATTTTGTAAGAGCCCTCATCAGAAATGGGAATTTGGCTTCATATTCATCATATGGTAGCATAATAACATCATAGTTTGTAAATTTTGGAAGATATTGAATTCAACTATTATTAATTCAGTATCAAATATAGTATGCGCACAGTTAAACGCTTAGGTGTTCCTACTATTTTGTCTCAATCCTGAAGCAGAGTTTGGTAGCCAACATACAAATCATACATCAGTACAAAAAAAACAACAGATGCTGGGCTATTTTTGTTGTTTAAACCCATATAAAATTCCATTTTCTTGGAATCAGGTCTCTAGATTTGTCTTTGAAATAACAACACAAAGACTCTGAAATTCTTCTCTCACAACATAAAGCTGTTTTTCTATATCATAAGATTTTTGGGACCTGGGTGTCCTGGTGGACAACAGGTTGACCATGAGCCAGCAGTGTGCCCTGGCTGCCAAGAAAGCTAACAGGATTCTGGGATGTTTTAGGAGAAGTGTGGCCAGCAGGTCGAGGGAGGTTCTCCTTCCCCTCTACACTGCCCTAGTGAGGCCCCATCTGCAGTGCTGTGTCCAGTTCTGGGCTCCCCAGTCCAAGAAAGATGAAGAGCTGCTGGAGAGAGTCCACCGGAGGGTTACAAGGATGGTGAAGGGACTGGAGCATCTCTCCCATGAGGAAAGGCTGAGGGAGCTGGGCTTGTTCAGCCTGGAGAAGAGAAGGCTGAGAGGGGACCTAATACATGCTTATAAATATCTCAAGGGTGGGGCCAGACTCTTTCCAGTGGTGCCCAGCGACAGGACAAGGGGCAACCAGCACAAACTGAAGCAGAGGAAGTTCCGTCTGAACATGAGGAAGAACTTCTTAACTCTGAGGGTGATGGAGCCCTGGCACAGGCTGCCCAGGGAGGTTGTGGAGTCTCCTTCTCTGGCATTCTGTGATTCTGTGTGATTCTGTAATCATATGGAAATTATGCTTAATAGCTGGCTATCAAAAATGGGAAGGAAAGCTGACAAGCTACATGTTATCCTGAAGTTTACAATTTCTGGAAGTGCATGCACTGAGGTGAAAAATTGTATGTAATTTCTTTAAAACACAGGCAAGTACTGACCCGTTCGATAGCAGCAGTCATTCCTAAATCGAACCAGAAGACCATGGAGTTCAGCCAAGATGATGGGACCAATAAGCTGTTTCATGAGGTGTTAGATAATTTTTGGTACATAACAGATTGGTTTCATTATGTAAGGAAACTAATAAAATTACTTTTCATTCTACTGGGGGACCCAATTTTGTTTTATGACCCCTACATAAAATTTGAAATAGGATCTATAAATGGAAGATAACAAGTACCTGACTTTTTGAGTCTGAAAGTCATGTCTCCTACGGTATAGAAATATATTCACTGGTGAGTCTTCATTTTCTATCCTAAAAATGATTATGTAGTCTCACTTTGTATAGTCATGCAGCTCCCATACTCATTGCCAGCTACGAATATATACTTGGCTCCAGAGGCAAATCGTATCTCCAAAATTAAATGCAAGCATAGACCTGATCATTCCTCTCTAGCTACTTGTTGTGAACCACCATTTTTCAAGTCTGAGGTTAAAACATTGAGATCTCATCTTCATTTGCGTGCTGGCTGCCGATTTCTAAGTAGTGAATTGCACTGACCTGAAAGACACATTCTCTTCAGAGATGAGCCCTATCAAATATACAGGGGAGCAATTTTCAAGGGAATTTGAAGAGAGTGAATGTGTCTGCTGCCACTGAGGCTTTTCTGGCAGCTTTACTGCAGTGTGTAGTGTGCTTTAGTCTCTTGGTCTTGTGTCATGGTCGCCCCTGAGTAACTGCACGTCAACCCTATTCTCACTGCGATGTATCTGTCCTTTGCCTGGGCTTAGACACTTCGCATGACTTATTAGTCAGGGTGGGATGCAAATAAGGACAGCAGTGACGTTTAAAACTGCTCAGACCTGCAAGCACTTAACTGAGCTTCATTATTCAAAGAAAACTCCTTCGCTGCTTTGAATGAATTCAGCAGAATATCAAAGGTCTGGTGCGGGATATGTTCTGATACAGGTATGAAAGCATTGCAAAAGGTTGGAGGAATCTGCAAAAGAAAGTGTCAGGCAATCTAGATAGAGAGGTTGCTATCTGCTTCCCCGCTAATCAAAAGCTTTTCAAACACTACTGACCAGCAAGATTTCATACAAAAATAAACTCGTTTTGATTCCTATCAAGGCTGTCCTGCAGGCTCTTCCATTCCCTTCTTCACCATTTCACAATCAAGTTGCCTCTTACCTCTGATTCTTTGTAGTAGCGCTCAGGAATTTCATCACTGGCAATATCAATAAAGCAGACTTCTCGCTCCAGATCTTTAGCTTCTTTGTCAAAAATCTGCAAGAGTTAAAGGAATTCAACACTGTAACAGAACAACACCCTTACAAAATCCACCTGGAATAACGGTTACGAGCGATTTCAATGACTTGTGCAACAGAATGTATTTTAGGCTTGTGCCTGAACAGCTTCTGATGTCAGGCACTGAAGTTTTTGCAGGGACACAGCCACATTCTCTAGCCTACTGCAGACATCAAAGGGAAGAGAACGGGTGTTCTCAATATCATGTGCAAGTAAGGTGTTTCTAAGCAAGATTAACGACAGTTTGAACGAATTATGCCACAGACCTTTTTGGGAACAGTCCATTGCGTCAGATCAAGAGACAGCGGACTGTTGCACATAACACGTCATGTTCAGCACTTAACTGCACACCCCGCTGTTGCTCCTTGCACCTTTTGGAATGGAGACTTTGGTCACAAATAGTAAAGTCAACAACGAGGATTGGGTTTATTGTGTTCTCTAATCTTTGAACTAGATTCCACCACCGTAAAAAACCTGACTGGCTGGACTCTGGGTGCTTCTAACCTTTTCGCTCTAGGGACAATAAGGAAACACAGGTGTTTTGTGTGCACTAGTCAGGCTAAGTTGCTGTCACACTGAGGATCAAAATTTTGGCTGAGCTGCCCTCAGTGGAAGCTGGAAACTTCCCCTACTCGTCTGCGCACACATGGAGCTTATTTCCATTTTCATTCTTTACGGCCTGGTTTCGAACACCAAGTCTCTTGTTCTATGCAATGCAAATGCTGGGTATATTTTGAAAATGCAGGTCATTTGCCTCTGCAGGGTAGTATACTTCTGTGCCTGTGCCCACAATTTAATTATTTAGGCATCTTAGTGACCCATGTGACTTATGCTATGTCCGCAATAAATTTCTGCTCATGATTCAGGGACTTGGAAATAGCGACTAGTTAAAAGGCCATCATGGATTAAGTGTCATAAAATTCAGGGAAGCTGTGCATACACTGTCAAGATCAGTAACAAGCTAACAACGTGTTTTTCCCTTTGGGGCACAATGTTCTATAGCTAACGTTTCCAGGAAGCACAAATATTTTTGTTGTCTTTTTTTAAATAAATGTAGTGAGCGCTCTGTTAATTTAATTTAATTTCATCCTAGAGGAACAGTTAAAAACACAAAATGCCAGCAACTGTTCAGTAACAAGACTGCTACTTCATTATTTCTGAAATAAATGCAGCTGCCCATGTAAAGTACTCGAAGTGAGCAATGGACTACAATGAACAAGTACACCAGCTGGTAAGGAAGAATGTTGCTCAGGAAATCGCAATTCAAGTCAATGAAAAGCTGAAGCTGGACTCTACAATTGTAACTTGTCTTGGTAGTTAACAGTACCGGAATAAAACAGGCAACACTGAATGCTTACTGAACTGGATATAAAACGTCAACATGTCTGAAACTGCAGCAGAACAGAACAAAGGGAAACTCTGGTCTGCTTTTATTTGTGTGCTTATTTTCCGACTCCGATCCTTGTTTTGTAAAAAATTATGTTGATTATTTGAACAAATTTGAGCCAAGAGGTCCTTCCCCTGTAGTGCTCTTTCTTAGAACTGGGGTACATATTTTAAAATAACTGTTATGTTTTACATATGTAATATAGGTCACTTTTTATAAGCTTCCTCGCTTGCTTTTTTCCTAAACTAATTCAGATATACAGAGCAGTCCCTTGCTGAAATCCGTTGAACTGTTTCTGGAACAAGATGCATTTCACCATAATCTCTGAGCTTTAAATAAAATAATGGAGATTTCTCTTAAATGGACATTACCAGGTCAGCTGAGGCTCCGAATTTGTATATGGTTTAAGCACAAACCTAATAAATTTAAGCACATGTGTATCTCTGCACGTTTGCAAGGACCTAAATTGGAACTATTGCCCAACAGCTTATCTGAAGAGATGTGCCCTGCTCTGTCACAGGCTTGATCCACATATTGCACCTCCAAGTAATACAGTTTTAAATTCTTCTTCTCTCTTTAACATGCTTCAATAGATGAGAGGGTGACAGATGCCTTTGCCAATCTGTCAAAACCAGGAGGAATTTTTCAACCATTTCAGCTATGCCTTATTTGCTGCTTAGGCTCTCTCTGACAATTTCCTCCATTCTGCAAGTTTGCTGAATGGCGTTCTCGCTTCCCTTTGCTGGCAGAAGTTCTTGTCTAATGATTTATGCCCCTTCTTAGATTGTCCTCACCAGATTTGCACACAGAGATTTAATCTCCTCATTCTATCAGCAGTAGAAAGTAAGAAGTCATTAGAGAACAAGACTGATTTCTTTCTTAGCTCTAATTCTCTTATTGCCTCTCCTAGCCACATAATCTAGGATTGTTTTAAAACCTGTAGGGAGGATGGGTTTACTGCGTTTGTGATCAGAGACTAGAGAAATTTAAAAGTTTTAAAGGAAGAGATTGAAGGCCACAAAAAGAAGCATAAGGCTCCCAATCTGTGCAACTGTATTTGCAAATGTGCAGAAAATGAATGGTGAGAACAATCTGTATCCTTAAGAAGATGATGTAGAAAGGCAGAATATTAAACATTATATTGGAAAGAACTGGACAGGCTTTACATTTGGAAGCCAAGTAATTAATTGAGATTGTAATACACAATCAAATGGAAAACAAAGAGTAACATTCAGGCTGAAGTGTTCTTTTTGCTGTGGGTTTTGGGGTTTTTTTGGGGGGGGGGCTGTGACAGCTTTTTTACAACAGACAAACATTTTACACACTTCTGCTTTCTAAGAGGAATGAAAACATCATTATTTAGACAAAAAGTGGACAAGAGGTTTTAATTGTGTGATCTTCACAATTGTCAATAGTTTCTTTGGGGTGAAATTTTTAAAAAAACCTGGCACATGATTATAGTACCTGAAGAAAGAAAGATCATAGAGGATACTGTAGAAATGTAAGTGCTGCTGTATTTCAATTTCTTTCCTTCATTTTCCTCATGGCCTACACTGACATGTGCTAGCACCTACTTTGCTGGTGACTTCTCTTTTCCTTGTAGGCAAAGCCAGAACAGAAAGTCAGGTTATGAGATGATGGTAAGACAACAACAAATTTACTATCTTTTTTCTACAAGCTCCTTTCCCATTTTTCTTCTATCTTCAGGCTAAGTTGCTGGCTTCAGCCCCATTCAGATGCAGCTAATCCAAAAATTTACTTTCATGGCCAATCACCACAGCTACCCAGGTTTGCACAGAAATAGCATAAAGCCGACGCAGCTGACTCCACTGATTACATCCACGCTGGCAAACTCCTCGCTCAGCTACACTGACTCCGAGGGTCAAACCTCTGCTTGTTTGGCTGGCCTGCGTTTCATTATATATGACTCTCTCGTGTGATGTTCCTTTCCACCACAGAGAGGAAAGCAGGTATTCAAGGGATTACCAGCTGGGAAGTTGTTCGTCTCTGTCTTTACTGCAAAATATTTTTTTTTATCAGCCTAGCTACAAGGGGTTTGTGGTTAGAAGGCTGTAACAAGGCAGCTAATTCACATTTTAAACACTAATACACACAGAACATAAAATTTCCCGTGGAAACAGTTAAATAACAGGTCAGCTTAGAAATCAAGACAAGCTGTTAGAGATGACAGTGATAAGGCATCCTATATAGAAACTTCTATATTATAAACAAACGAGTTGGAAAATGTGTGTGTTTCTTTCTGGAAGCTATTTTTTCCATCTCTTGTGAGGCTTTGGGTGGGAGCAGATCTCTATGTTTTTCTTACTTGTTGCTAGATCCAGATAGTCCGCCATTGCTGAGAAATGCAGCTACAGCAGAGAAATGAAACGAGTAGAGCTAAAAGATCATTTTCCAAAAAAGCAGAGCACTCCTAAATTAATTACAGGCAGGTAATACGGTAGCACATGTGATTATTATCCCATCTGCGAAGTAATCAGACACCTGTGCCTATCTACAAACTTACTACACTGTTTAATACACAGTGTGTAAATGTAATTTATTGAGATGAGAATTTCTGCTAGAAATCAAATTTCATCTTCTATTAAATTGTTCTTTGAGATAATATCTCTGCCTGAAAGCATTGTTCTTCCCTCTCCACCTCCCCATTTTCCCTGCCCTGTCAACAAAGCCAACAGGCATCCCAACAAACTTAAATCTTGACTTGGCAGTAGCTGGACATCACAAGATGACATCTTAGTGGGACAGGCAGGCTATGACATGCATTGCATGACAAAAATATCTTTAAGCATTAGAATCTGAAATGAAATTAATCTCTGCCTTTCTTACCGTTACATTGATTCATTCATTGTCATTGAGCTTCAAGAAAAACCACAGTATGCAGCTAGAAGAGTCCCCAAGCTCAGAAGCACAATTGCAACATACATGCTCCTTTCTAATGCAAATATTGGTATTTCACTGAAGCTGTTGGGTTTTCTCTGTATTTTCTCCCACCGCTGAAATGCAGTCTAGCTATGGAGCTTGCAGTTACTGAGCATTTCGTATGATGACAAGCGCTTTCGGCGTGGAGAATACATATGTATCCCTTATTTGCAGGATGGTTTAAATCTAGATTTCAGAGTCTATGAAAGGCAGAGGTATAACTGCAGCAAGGACTGCAACAATAAGCTTTTTCTTTTTTTTTTCCTATTAAAAAAGGGAAAACCTGGCACAAAACCTCTCCAATTTGAAATTCTAATCTCCTTGGATTGCCATTGTCAGAACTACTGGCTAGTCTCCACTTTATTATTACAGCATCTTTTCGCAGGTTGTGTCATCTGGTCCACTTTAACTCTCATTTTTTCTGAAGGGAAATTTGGTCTAAAATAAAAAAACACCTGCTCAGAACTTCACCTGTGGAGTTGTAGTCAGTGTGTAACTTTTCCGTAAGTCATGTTCCAACCTCAGTTGTCCCCAAAGTCTGTTAATTTGCTTTTGAGATTTATTTGGGCAAAGATTACAGGAATTGACCAATTTCAACCTGTTCACTGGCTAAAACTGTTTATGTGGATGCATGTAATTGGAGCAATTCTAT